GCGGTGGGGGGAGGGGGTGAGTGAGGGGCTTGGGGCCTGGGGTGATTGAAATGGCCCGGCTGGGATGCATGGGGGAGGGGGCAGGCATCTCCGGCACAGAGGAAGTTGTTCTTCCTCCTGGAGCTCCACGTCCCGTAAGGGCCATGGGGGAGGCCTGGCCTAAAGGGGGTGGCAGGGCAGAGGCCAGCAGGGCGAGGCTGGGCCTGGGTGAAGGGCCTGTGGGCCACTGTGGTGCAAGTGGCCATATGGGCCCACCCTTTTGAAGCCTCATCCAGGCCCAAGGGGCGAGCTGACAGGGTTGGACCAGACCCCCCCCCCCTTTGCCTTTTCATGTGCCTGATGTCTGTCTCAGTGTGCAGATGGGCTCACATTCCCCAGCTCTTTTGTTGCACGTTTGCCCCACCGATCTCTAAGAGCTTTCCAGAGGAGAGCGCTATCCTCACCCCTAACTTGCAGGCAGGGAAGCAGAGGCCGAGTGGTGAGGTGACTCGCCCAAGGTCACCCAGCAGGCCAGTGGCAGAGCTGGGACTGGAGCCCAGTCTGCTGGTCGTAGCTCCCTGCTCAGTCTGCACAGCCATATTGCTTCACCTGAGCTCAAGTTACAGATCTTCAACCTCTGGGATTGATTCCAGTTGCTACACCCGGGGTGGGGGCGTAGGAGAGGGAGGTTCTGCCATGTTCTTAGGGTGGGTGGGAGCAAAGTAAACTGAAATGCTGAAGTTGGGCCAGCTGCCGTTGGACTGTGTTGAGCATGGTGTCCTGTGGAGAGCAGGTTGGTTACCCAATGCAGGCAGCTTTTTTTTGCTATGAAAGAAACTGCATATATGTTCGATACTTCCCCTGTGTGAGCCTTCCACATGAGTAAGTATGTGGCTGCTATGGGGTGTTACACAACCACTGATGGGAGAGGGAGAAAGGGAGGAGGTCTGCAGTCACAGAGGAGATGTATCCAGAGAAGTCCCATAATGAAAACCCAGGTGAAGTCTGCAGCACTCCTGACAGTGGTTGGGCAGCCTGTGTGCTGTGACTGCTGCTCACTTCAGTCACTTTACTGCTATCCTGTACTCACAGCAGCAAAGGCAAATAGGGGCATAAACACTTGCGGGATTGGGACCTTAAGGTTCCCTTGAAATCTGAGCACATAAGAAATCAGCTATGGTTTCCAATATGACTTTGCTCAGGAGGGCCCCTGCCAATTTCAGTTTGCAAACATGTTTTCCTTTTGTCCAGTTTTAATTTAATTTTTAAAAGACTAGCTGTAGAGGGGGAAATATCAAGAGAAGTATTTTGTTTCTTCATCTCTCAGTGGCAGCCTGTGAATGGCTAATGCAGAGCTGATGTCCCTTTAAACCCCTGGTCACTCCTGAAGACTTATTTTATTACATATGAATGTAGTGTCTGTGAGAGGTGCCCAGCTGACAGCACTGGAGGAGACTGAAGCCTTCTTGGTCTGCAGAATACATGAGGTCTGAGCATCATGAGCTCAAATATCTTCACTCGGCACCTGGCCTGTGTATAAGTTCTGACCATGGGGTAGTTCAGACCTCCACTTGCTGAAATTGTCTGCAAAGGTTTTAAATATAGTGGTCTACATGACCCAGCAGCAAATAATCAAAGAGCTACTAGTTAGTGACACCTTAGAAAATAATGACCTAGTTTTTGTCTTATCTTGGTGGCCTTTTGGGATTGGTACTTCAGTAGCCACCATTGCTGAGTGCCTCACAATCCCTATTGTTTTTAGGGAGGTTCTATTATCCCCATTTTACAGATGGGGCACTCAAATGTAGAGAACCAAAGTGATTTGCCCAATGTTATACAGGAAATCTGTGGCAAAGTAAGCACTTGAGCCTTTTGTCCTTAGGCCTAGGTTAGTGGCCTAACATGGAGCACTTCCTCCTTCAAGGTAAAAGGCCCATATCTCTGGTTTTTTAAAAGGGTCCAACCCGGCTAAATGCTTCTCAATGTTTCACATGTGGCCTTATGGAATTGGTCAACAAAGTTAGCCCCCTCAACTTTGAATTTACCCCCGTGTTCCCACAAAATTGGTTAATGCCTAGATTGTGTAGATGGCTTGCTTGCATTAGGAAACTTAGCCAAAGCTTTCTGAAAAGCACCGTGAGCAAAGTAAGTGCCTGGAGCTGTCTATGGAATTTGCTTCAACTGCTGCTTCAAACACAAATGTGTCTTTTTTTTTTAAAGTGAGGAACAAGAAGAGCTGCATTACCAGGATACAGACTCTGATGTGCCAGAGCAGCGGGAGAACAGGTGCAAAGTCAAGTGGACCCACGAAGAGGTAGGTGGTAGCACAGGACCTGCTGCAAAGGGGTATGTCTCAGGGGATGGGTGTACTGTGGCTGTGAGGAGATGAATCAAGAAGAAAGCATCATCTGTAAGGGACCTCAGTAACTTCCTGGATAGGTAAGCTGTGGATCAAACTGTCTTAATCAGACACTGGGGGGGAGGGGGAATTGATTGTTAATGTCACTAGTGTTTTCCCAAGCAAATTTTGGTCCTTTTGTATCCACTTGACTTTGGGAATGCACTACACAGAGCTTTCCCCTTCACTCTAAAACATCCGGCTTAGTTTGTTGTTGCAAGTAGATGGACTGAGATCCATGACACCATGGTAGCAAC